AGTTGGTCGATGCACTATGCTACAAGCCAGAACGTCACAGGCTCAATTCCCAACAACGCCACTGGATTTTTCAGTTTATCTAACCCTTCCAGCTGCACTATGGCCCTGGAGTCAATTCAGCCTCTAACAGAAATGAGTACCAGGCATCTTCCCGAGGAGTAAAGAGCAGCCAGGATGACAACCTCACTGCCATTTGTAAGCCAACTGTCTAGTAAACATGGGAGCCTCAATGTCTCACAACCCTATGGGCCTTCATAGCCTGTTACAGGGATAGCTTTATCTTTATTTTGTAACCGTACGCATCCTTCACGGAAATGTCTTGTTTGTTTGTAAGTAACAGTTAAGTTTAGCTGTAGAAATAAGATGCCCCGGAGGGATCATGGTCCTCTGAACTGGCCTTTTGTTGCGAGGGACAGAAGAGAGGTTGGTGAGTCCATTGCATTCAAGGGGGAGTAGGTATACCTTCTTTCGTCCGTGCCTGTGGGGGTGGAGGACCTGTGGATAGAAGCTTCGAGAAGGTGTGCAGACCGGGAGGGGTCCGTGCATTAGGTCATGAAGCCCTCCCAGTGGAAGGTTCAAGATGGCTGTAAGAACGTGGTTTCTGGGAGGAGCGGCAGTGGTAATTGGGTAGTGGGTGAGTAGAAGCCAGGGAGTGAGGGTGTTCTTGGGGAACCTGTGCCGGGAGATTAACCGATCGAGCCCACATCCAAAACGAAGTGAGCCAACACCCGTGTACCCCTGAGATACAAGACTCATAACCCTGAGTTTAGTCGAGGCACTACCCCGTGAGGAAGTAAAGCGTGTGGGGGCGGGTGTAATTTCTTTAATAGGTACCCATGGAAAATGTACCTGCAGCCAGCAAAACATTTCATAAACTTTTCTGTGACTGTACAGTAATATCTGATGGACTACTACAAGTGCAAGAAAGCTTTTAGAGATCTTTGCATTCGGCAATCACTACACCATGATGAGCTGCAGATTTTTTTTTATCATTTTAGGGAGTTGAGGCATCATGAAGTCTGTGAACCCCTGCCTTAAATAATATTACATGCTGCAATAAACTGCTAGGGCAGAGCATACAAGTGATTCATTACTGAATACTTCTGATAAAGTTGCATCCTGTGCCTTGGTTTATTCTTAAAACACTGTTCCTGAAATTGGATTAGTTTGCAATTACAGGCAAGGGAAAACATACTAATCTAAGAGATGCAATTTAAAGGGGTTGTCTGAATCACCTGATACATTCTAAATCCAAGATTTAAAAAAGTTCTTAGTTTAATTTACAACGATCAATCTCAGAACTTAGTTATTAGTACAGTTTAAACACCAAATTTTAACATTTCTACCAAAACTTCCATCATTATTTAATATGTGTTAGTGGTATTATTAGTCTGTGAAAATGCATACAATGTGCCCTGGATTATCTATTCTAATGCAGGGAAAAGGACAAATAAATAACAAGAGAAAGTGGATAATCCAAGTGTTGGCTGTGATTATGATACAACAGCGGTTACTGAATACAGAAATTTTGAAATGTGTGCAGCGTCAGATTTGTTTAATTATCTCAAGATCTGTAAGTTCATGGAAACATGTCCTGAAGATAAAATGCATGACTCATTCCTCTCTATGCCTCCTGTCAGAACATTTCTTGCTCTGGTAAATATTTTTCATGTTACACTCAATACATGTGAATGTGTCTGCAACAACCATTCAATAAAAATAAAAACTGAAACATTTTCAGATTTTTTTGTAAAAAATCTCCAATACCAAACTTCATGGAAATTTAGCCAGCTCAAAATCAGTACTTCTGCTCGTCTTGTGATAAGCAATTGCTTTTATTGTCACTAATATCTTCTTCCATGTACCCTCTGATCTATCATTGCACTCCCTCTTGCACATATTCAAGCACGTTTATCTGGCTAGGAGAGTACACTTCAAGTTACTTCCATAGACTGATTTCTGATCTAGTTTCAGTATGCTGATTCAATACTACAGTAATAAGGGGTTTCAAGTAGTGGACGGATACTATGATGTAACTGGCATGAATTTCATGCAGCAAATGTGTTCCAATTTTGAATGAAGTTAGGAGTGAGGTTTGATTTAGTTTTATAAGGCAATTCTCTCAGCAAGCCCAGGACTAACTGAAACTTGGCAACGCAACAGTTTGCAACACTGAGCAAGTGCAAGCCTGTCCATTAGTGTCATTTCCTTCAGTTTCCGATCCATCTTAGCACAACAGCCGCAACATTCACGACTACGGAGAGGCCTATCTGTGTTTCCAGGCTTAGGGAAACAAATTAAATGAGCCAAATGTGTCTACAGTTGCTTAAAATTGTATCCAAGACTTCATATGAAAAACGTTTTATAAACTTACGTGGCGGCAAAATCAATATCGATATACTCACTTGAATCCTCCAAACATTTGCGCAAAGTTTTCTCGACTCTTTTGAATAGGTGGCCACATAACTGCTCCATATCAGCCCTAGACACAACAGTTACAAGACACATTACAATACAGAATTAATTCGTGATAACAAACACTAGAAATTGTACACGACCTACGCTCAATCTGGACCTCATCCAGCTATCTATACAACAGACTATACCTCAGGCTACTCTCCTGGGAGTAGAACAGCTGAAGCATGAAGCCCATCTGCAAGTGCTTTTAACCCTTTAAAGTCATCGTGTTTGGAAAAATTTCTGCAGCCAGGTCATCGAGGGTTTCTAAATGCCTGCAGAGCCACTAAGAGAAGCTGTTTTGCTCAAAAAGTTGGTACAACAAGGGCATAAAGTGACAAAGCAAAATGTGTACTTACCAGCACAATGCAAGAAGGCAAATTCTCTGCCTTGTAGTGGTGTATGACATCAAGTGTGGAGAGAGGTCGTAGTGTTCAACTGAACCAAATTGTCTGCTGTTCTCTAGTATAAAATATACACATATTCCTTTCCTCTTATAACCCTCACTTACTCTTCTATGTACACAAACAACAACTTGATAAACTACCGGACCTACAATAAAATGTTTTGAAGTTCTTGAGAGTGTGACATCTTTCAAAACATTCCCCAGGACACATGGCCAGTTGATTTATACAGGTCTTACAACAGACATATGTTTCTTTTCTGGCTCTCATGACCTTCCGACTGCTGCACACAATGCAGTCTTAGTGTTTCTTTTTTCATAGTGGTAGAGGAAGTGAAGTACTATATTTAGTCTCTCTTCTATCAAGGTGACCCGGATGTGACCGCTTTGACTCTACTGGCAATACTAGTGCCTGTTGTGTGGCATTTTCGATTGTCCAATTCTTCAGCCAACTGAATACTGCTATAATATCTGTCAGTGAAAATGTGGAAGCCTTCAACAACACACACAATGAGTCTAGTCTGTCCATCATGAAAAGAACTATTCTTGAAGTGAAAGGTTTTTCTGAGTATGACAAGTCACGCATGTCACCTGTAAGTTCTCCGTAACACAGAATTATACTGTGAACATAACCAGTGTCACTGTCAGCTAATGCATCTAATCAGACGCCCCACTTTGTAGGTTTTTTTTTAAATTATGTTTTGAAAATTATTTTGCCCTTGAACCCAACTTTTGATTCATCTATTACAATGTTCCTTTGATGGCCCAATTGCTTTCTTTGGTGGTATTTCCCTCCCACATGAACCATCCAAAATATCTGCAAAATGCGAACTCTAGACATTACATCAACAGAAAATGGTATCTGTGTTCCCCACTCACTAGACCAATAGTCCGTATGTCAGGTAATGGTATTTGACCCATATTTATAGTTAGACCTAAGAATTCCTTCATTTCAGAAACTGACACATCAGACCAGCTGCTCCAGATGGACCTCAGGCTAAACAGAAGTTCCAAAATTTTGTATCTCGTATACCTGTTTGTCTCTATAACAATGTTATTCAAAAGCTCATCATTGAAAAACAAATTGTGGCCCTGCATTTTCAGTAAATATGTATGCCTTGGATTTCTTGTCCCCCATCATCCCATCAACATGCATTACACTTGTTTCACTCTTGCTCTCACTTTCCAACATTTCATTGCTGGATTCTTCACTGACAGTTTCTTCCACATTTTCCAAATCCATCTGATCATCAGTCTATTTTAGCTTTTCATTTAACAAAGCGATAACTGAGTCTTCATTCTCAACACACACAGCATTATATTTCAGTTTTTCATGCCAGAAGGCACACGTGTACTTGAATGCGAAGCCATGTTGCTAACACTGATACGCAGTAATATATGTATGGCATTCGTTCAAGTAGTTCAAATTATGACTTCCAGATGGCAGGAGAATGCAGACTAAATATTCATGATTGCAGTTATAAATATACAGCGGCAAGCAGTGACATATGACCAACTTATCATCGGATAAACGCAAAAAAAAATTTGCCATCATATATCGACATCTGTCCACGGAAGCACATATTCAATGTTAATTATATATCGACAAACGATGGGAAAGGGTTAAACATAGGGAAACACTACCTTAACTCTAGCCTGTACAATTTCTCAGTGTCAGGCCACAATGTCATCTCAGATTTTCATGCTAGTGCTTAGAATTGTACTCTATTACAAATTACTACTAGTAACCTGCCAAGGATGATCGCAAACATAATCTCTCTCTTCTCTTCAACCTTCCATATCTGTATCCCCTTCCCTTGTTTTCCCCTTACTCTTAACTATCCATCCTATGCTCATTGCTTCCCCACACACTAGCAACAGCAGAAGACATCTTGAGATTCACCCTACATCCCAGAAATATTGTGCTGGGTTTTCTGCCAGCACAAAAGGAAATGACTATATGCAGATGTTTCAACTGTCCTTTTGTTAGGAAAAATTAGCAAATTTAAAAACCAAGGCTAAAAGCCTACTTTCCTTATTTTGAAAAAATATGAATAGGCTTATGAAATCACCATGGACTGAGTGGAGGGGGGATGACCTTGAGATTTTGGTGGATTCACATGTTTTGCACCCTCCTGAATAAAAATAGATTTGGAATGTGATCTGTCTTGTCTGTATGTGTGGATGTGTGCCTCACCTGCACCTAAACAGCTCGGCAGAATTTATTCATGTCTGATATGATGGGTTGGTGACTAGTGAACATGCACATCCCAGCTCCAAAAAGAGGTGGCCTTTGCATATGACCCCCCAACACCCATGGTGATTTTCTTTAAAAAAAAAAAAACTAACAATTTTGGTTAACAGACCCAGGTACAAAATGTCTGTACCAGGGACTGAAGTATGAAATATCAATTTTGTTGAAACCAGCTGAACAAATTTCACTGTTGTTCAGTAATCAGTAACAAAGAATGGTTTACCAAGCAAAAATCAATTTCATTTCTTTGATATCACAGTCAAGGTCAATCCTTTGAAGCAGCATAAACATGTCTTTGCACTGTTTTATTCTGGCTTGCAGTTCTTCAGGGCAGCTCGCAGATTTGGGGAAAATTTGTGAGGCCTGTCTTAACCAATCACTTATATGGGTATGACAGATGTGTAACTCAGCAGATTCTAAAGGATTCTGACAATGGTGTATAATGCTCAGAATAGCGGACAATGAACAATGTCCGAATATCCAGTAACCCTGTGTATTTAAGCCTTCATGTAATGTTGCCCAGTCTGAATAAAATAATACACCATCACTGAATCTTAGCAATGGCTGAACATCTTTATACCAAACCTGTCCAATATTATGTTCAGTCAGATGTATGTTTCCAAAAACTGCCCTAAATAACTCAAAGACAGAATTTTCAACACCACACTAACCTTTTCATATCACCGTGAACATCCTTGTCATCCATGAAGCATTCAATGTTCATTGGAAGTTTGGTTGAGTTGGCAGACATCTGTTTCTTAAGCTTTTCAACCTCAGAAGTAAGACGAAGGAAAGCACGGTGATTACTGTGTGGGTCAATATGGTAACGAGACTGGAAGTCAGTGCAAAAATGTTCAGCTAAGATCAGATCAATGTCACGTCCACCAAGGTTAGGATCTGAAGCACTTGCCAGCATCTGGAATATGATCAAAATAAAGCAAACCAGATATATTTGCTAACCAGTCCAAACAGTACCTCAAACGGAATTTAAATTCAAAGAAGCCTCCCCATCTATGCCATCCAATGGAATGTTCACAATGGTGAGTCATCTTATGAGAAACACTTTCTCCATTTATCTGCACCCTCCCACAAAGGCTCCCACTGTACCTTTGCATCCACTCTTCCCTCCTTCTATTTTGTGTCTCCCCTTTAATACATTGCGGACCAGTTGTTTTTTCTTTAGTGTGTGACAGGAAATGAGCGTGATCATGTTACTGGCTAAGCTAGCAAACGTTTCCGAGGTCAACTACGCAGTAGTTATGATGCAATGTGGCCACACAGCAAGACATATTTGGTTGCAACATAATGCGTCAGAAAAGGGCCAACTGGCCCGCCCGGTCCGCAACACTATAGAAACGTAGAGGGCCAATTGGCCCCTCTGGTCCTTAATGTGTTAAATAACATGCAATATTAATTCAAGGGTTATGACATAATATGGGATTTCCAATAGAGCTTCCTCCAAGAAAATTTTTTCAGTCACTAGTTTCTCAATGCAACACAGTCATAATACAGGCTGTTGTAACCGCTCACTTCTTTTGTGCCCTTTTCGTTGTGCGCCACTCCACCACCGCTCACTTCTTTGGGTTCTTTTTCTTTAATCAGTAGAGCTGGGTTCCTATCCCAGGGTCTTATAAGGGTCTGGCTCGGACAGGGCAGGAAGAACAATTCACTACAATCACCCACCTTTCGACGGTTGCACTTGGTAGTCCTTTAATACCTTCCGGCTTTCTGAATACACTGAATTTATTAATACTGTTGCTTTGTACTGTACTTATACTATTCTACGGAAGGGCCGTAGTCGTAAATTTAGTGTCCGACTTTGCCGAAAGTAGTGTCAAGACTCTCCGAGGTGGAATCCCTCTCTTTGAATTCTGAGGTCCACGAACCCCAGACTCCAAGAGAAATCCACTCCTCCACTTCTGCCATTGGTTAATTTTTCAAACTAGGAGGTTCCCTAAATCTTGAATTCCCAATCATGTTGCTCTGCTATGTGATTCTGGCAGATGCTGATCTGACGCTAAGGATGACAGCCCCTTGATGCATTACAGTCAGGGTGTGAGGCTCCGGCCGTCCCACTTCTAAGTTATCGCTGTCCCAAGCTGTCAGCTCTCCTTTTCTCAAAGCCTTTCCGACGTTACTGAAACTGCCAGAATTCCAGGAAAGTACCAGATGTTACTTCCTGTTCACATAGCAAAACTTGAACTATGTCCCTTCCGCGTGTAAGAGCTGGCTATCCGCTGGATCTCTTTGTTTGTAATATTGTTAATCTTAACTTAATACAAAATTTAATTTTCATACTACACTCCTCCAGTCAGAATGGACGGTTACACTGTGAACTACCATGGCTAGCAAGCAGTCACTGTGTTATTTTACAGCAATGTACGTACATTCCCATAACCTACAATATAATGAAAACATTCTGATATACCTTCAATTTGCCTTTATGGAATGCGCATGCAAAAACCTGAAGGGAAGCATGGCCACAATCCACAAACACTACATTCCTGGGTTTCTCTTCGGGGGCAGGCAGATCTTGCTTGTAGATCCCATATGCCAGGGCTGTTGCTGTTGTTTCATTCATCAGACGCAGAACATTCAGCCCTGCAATTGACGCAGCATCCAACAATGCCTTCCTCTCAGCATTTGTGAAAAATGATGGAACCTATCAAAAAGAAGTACAGATTTAAAATGCTTGGTTGTTAATATAAACACAATTAAGGCACAATGCTCACAGAAACCTTCTGGATAATATGGAAGTTCATGACATCACACACAATTTTCAAATGTCTCAATATACCGCAGATTCAGACATTAAATGAAGGTGATCACGTCCCACAACATGACCATGTGTTTTACATCACACAAATGTCTATGAAATGTTTTAGTTACATTATTAAGACTTCAGAACAACATCCCTTGCTGTAATTTGAAGGAGCAGAGGTTAAGTCCATAGTATGCCATGAACAAGCTGTGTACTTCTGGTTTCCGTAACCAAAACTGAGGCAAATGGATAGTTGGGCATATAATATCAAAATGATTCTTAGAAATGTAATGGTGTGGATTAAACTGTACTGGCTCAAAGCAAGGATCAGAAGCACTCTCTTGTGAACATAAGGAGAAACAAGTAGGTTCCAAAAGAGAGGAATATCGCCAATAGCTGAGCAAATATTGTGACATGTGAGCCGTTTCTATGAAACGAACTGACAAATACACTGCTGCAGAGAGACTGATTCTTGGAAACCTACTGAGTACAAAATATGTTTTCCACGGATACAAAACTGAAAGTTATAAACAGTTGGAAACCAGACTGTCACTATAAAATTAACACATGTTTCTGCAGCAATGGATAAACACAGAATAATAGATGAACTGCTGGACATGGTGATCTCTATTCGATTCATCCCAAAGCTACAAAAGGGGAGGGGGGACATGTAATTGATTCAGAGTTCAGTCATCGAGTCTTCATTCAGCATTCAGCATTTGTAAGAGAGCTCCGAGTTCAGTAGTTGAATGTTCAGCTGCGGAGTGTTAATCAGCGGACAACAGAAGCTGAAGAAGTGACAACCCCGGCCCCCCAAGATGCTCACCAGCACTGAAGAAAGCAAGATTTAAAATTCCCTATTCCTGGATGATAAAGGTTAATAGCACCAAAGGTAAAAAATGAAACTCACCGAGATAACACAATCATTGACCTTGGTCTTCAAAGCATTCTCAGATACTTCCTTCAACTTTGTGAACAACATGGCTGTAATTTGTTCAGGAGAAAACGTGTGTTCCTCATCCAAGTAGTTGACCTGTAAATCAGGTGAAAGACAAATTAAAAACAGCGTCCAAATGCACATTAGCTCCTGGTTATTGTTCTTTATTTATCTTCATTGTGTCCATCCTGTTGTGTAACATAAACCTGTCATGCATTACGAGGTAGGCCATGCCGCGTGAACACGCCTGGTTCCAACAGCAGCCCAAAGAATTTTATGCTGCTGGTTTTCAGGAGCTTGTGAAATGATGGGACAAGTGCCTCAATGTACAGGGAGATCATGTTGAGAAACACAAGCATTTTTCAAATCAGTACTCTTACTTGTTTAAGTTCTATATCCATTTGTAACTTACTTATTGACTTATCCTCGTATGTCAAATATTAAAATTATTACAAAATTATTATCACAATAGTGAAACAGTGAAAACAACACAGCAAGCCACAAACAAACCCTGGATGACATCAAGAACCTCCTCATCAAGATAGACAGGCGGCACAAAATCTGACCCATACAAGAAGGACGATAGGAGTACAGACACGAACCTATGTGGTTTAAAAAATTTTAACTACTGACAATAAAGGTTTTTTTTAAATAACATCTACAAACTTTTAAAAACTTTACAACACCAGGAAGCTGCTGTGATTGTGAAACGTTCAACTTTAAACGTACTGTGCATTATAGGATATAAGTTTATGTATTGTAACGTGTTTCGTTACTGAAGACGCCGTAGAGATGGTTAATTGGTTTATTTAACAATCTTCAAATAACGGCTACACTTAATTATCACACTATTACGGGTTTCCACACTTTACAAACCCTACAACAAAATCTCTTAACACAATCTTCACTTGTCTTTACGTACTAATAACGCGGGAGCTATACAAGTCTCCCTGAATTACACACTCCGAGTATAACTGTACTACAGCACTCACTATGTCTGGAAAGCACACGAAAAGTCTTCCGCTCGCCGACTTCTTAAGTATCGCACACTCGCACGCTG